GTGCTATAACTCCTTTGTTTATTATTTTAGTAATATAGTTTGAAGGCAACATTTTCTTGAATTTTTAAGTACTTTCGTTTGGTAAGGAAAAAAATATACTTTAGGGGGGGTAAAATTTTGTTTCTGCCCTTATCATGCGAACGCGACTTCAAAGCTTAAAAAGACATAAGAACGAAAAGTGAAGCTTCTCAAGACAAAAATAATGACATATCAATTTTAAAAATCGGCCGTCAAATAACCAAGTTACAACGAAAAAACCATTTCGGCTGTATTTCGGAGGGTTAAAAAAAAAAAAAAAAATTTTTCCAGAACCCTCTCAACATAATCTTTAAATTTAGGGGCGGACTTTAGCAACTTTTTTTTTCGACCCAGTCTAGTGTATACATACGAGAACTTAATGAGAGTAAGCAGGATAATCTGCGCCATTTTCTAATTAGACTTGAAAATTTTTCAAAGTCGTTGCTGTCATTTGTATACAGCCTTGCCGCACAATGTTACCGAAAAAGTCTGTTGGTCGGGGACGCCGCGGCATTCACGCGCTTCCTGGTGGCATTGCACAGCACACTGACAGCAAATGGGTAAACAAAAAAGGAGAGAAAAATCTTTAAAATAAGGTATGTGTAATGTGACCAACCGTACTCCTTTCGGAAGTACAGTTCCTCTTTTTGAGCCGTTGTAGTTACTTGGTACTTCGCAGTACAGTAAAATGTACTTTTTTCAATATTTTGTACTAACTTTTAAATTTAGTTTCCTTTGCCTGATTCGAAAAAATTTAAAAGCTCAGTCATTTCAGTTAAAATAGGTACTCACACAAAAACAAATTACCTTTATTTTGCCACTTCTAAGGGGAAAAACTACTCCTATTCTGAACCGGTTAAAAGAATATTACTTCATGATTTTTTAAACTTTATTAGACTTCGTATCTAAATGCGAGTTTGTGGGGTTGGTGATTACGAATCTGAAATAAATTCTTACAAATTTTAAATCGCGAATAAAAGATGGATTTTTTTTTTAACTATTGGATTTGTGTGAAATTTGACAACCAAACGTTCATTGAGTAGCTGATTACAAAACTGAAATCATTCATCAAAAATTCAAAATGACGGACTCAATAAAGATCCATTCGCCATATTTGTTACGCCATTTTAGATTTTTGAAAGCAGATTTCATTTTGCCACTCAAAGAACCTTTGGATATCAGTTTTCATAAAAATTCTAACATTTTTGAAAAATCCATCTGCCATATTGCACTCGCCATTTAAAATTTCCGAAGTTGAATAAAGTTTGAAAAATCCCAGGGCAATTGATCGATTCAGTGTAGGGATTGTTAAGGGTTGTTTTTCCCTATAGAAACCATAAATTACTTGATCTAGAAAAATGCTTGATTTTTTTCGTGGGTACAGCAATGTTACCAGATTCACAGTTTTAACTACAAATTACAGATTTTTGAACAAGCTTGCAGTTCCATAAATGGCAAGCCAAGTACAAGTTAGTTTTTTTTTTGAAATTTGAAAGAATAAATTAAAATTTCTCTTTCGGTGTTTTTGTAAGTCAGCTTTTAAGATAAAAGGGTGATGAAGGAACAGCGTTTCCAGCGAAATGAATATTGTGACAATTCAATTCGAAAAAAACAATAAATAGACTAGAAATTCCAGTGCTCCCTGGTAGTTTAATAACTAAAAGTTTCTTACAGAGAAGGTTCAGGGGTATTAATTGCGAAAAATAACGAAACTAAATTTCAGTAAAACAAAATATTAATAATAATTTTAGCGAGTTTATGTTATTTTATTTTAAATTAATTGTTTCATGCTATTTGTATTAAAAAAAAATTAAAAAAACTTTAATTTTTAAAAACTCGTTTTTGAAAGGCAACTGTACCTTGTTGGTCGAAAATACAGTTTTATTTGTGGATACTCACAGTTTTTTTGGAAAATAAAATCTGGCAACACTGGGGTTACAAAAAAAGTTCATTTTTTCGGACGGTGATATACATGAAATAATCGTATTTTTAATATCCCTATATTTGTAAAAAATGTGCTAGGTTTAAAGGCCTTTACAAAATGACAGTTTTTCCTATACATCTTCGATTTATAAAGCAGTTTAAGTCTTATTTATTCATTATGAATTTAGGCATAAGTTTGTATTGTTGTTGAATAAAGTTTAATTTTTGATGAATAAAATTTATTTGTGGAGTTGGTATACTGTCAAACTTTTGGTATATTTTGCTTTACCATTTTCTCTTTACTTTCATACTTTTTTTGGTTCTCAGGTATTGTACTTTTTTGAGCTATGAAATAGTTGGTCACATTGAATTAGGTATGTGTAAGTGCGTTTGTGTATGTGTGAGGCAGAAAAACTCGCTTTTTAACCTAAAAACGGGCAACGAAATTTTCATTACAAAACTTTTTGCATTAATCTGCGAATGAAAAGGCAAAAACAAAGAGCGGCTGCAAGCAAAAAACTTGAAAATAAAAAGTATCATTAAACAAGAAAAAAAAGCGAAAGAACGAAACGCACAAAGCTGTACGGGTAGTTGGCTGCTCGTGCAAATGTGCGTAAGTGTGAGTTTGTTGATGATATCCCAGTAGGAAAATATAATGTGTTGTAATCGGAAAAAATAATCAGTAAAACAGCCATTTTCACATTCGAAAATGCATTATTCTTCTCACGGCGATGTCCTATGAAAAGTGGAGCATTCAATTTTGCATTACCAGTAAAGCAAAAATGAATGTGATTTAATGTGAAATTTTTACGATTTTTTGGATATATTCGAATGCTGATTATATACTAAACAGTAATATAATCTAGAACTCATAAGAAATACATTACATTATTTATCACACATGTAATGCATTACCACTTTTCCCACTGGGATTGCATAATACATAAATACACCAATGCGTTAAGGCTAAGTGTGACATGACGACGCACAGTGTAAAATGAGTGGAATTAAGGGAAATTGACTTAAAAAATTAACATGTGACTTACTAAACAAAATTTCCCAGAAGATTAATTTGGAAAATTATTAGCTCGCGAACCAGTCCATTAACTTTTGATGAATTCAAAATTTAAAAGTTTAGAACCAATAAAAATTAACAAAATTCAGTATTTCATACAGAGAGAGGCAGCTGCAGGAATGGTTTGTCGAGTGTCTGTAGCCTCATTCTTGCGATGGCTGAAGACTCGCACAGGAAGTGCTTGACTGTCCTTTTTGAGTCCGGGTAATCGAAACTGCGATAAAACCTACTGAAGGTCAATCCGATTCTCTCGGCATGTACCCCAACGGGCTAGTGTCCTGTGCACAATGTCGTAAAATTTTGGAAATCTTCTTTGCTCATTCCCAAGAGAGCTTTGGTTTTAAGTGGATTGTAGGACACCCAGAGTTTTCGGGCAATCCTGTAAGATCCTGTGCTGTTCGACCTTTGCCTGGCCTCCGAATGATAAATTTCGATAATTTTTGCTTTTGTCACCCTAAGTGAATCACCCATGTCCACCACGTGGAACACATTCAGTCCGGAGCTGCACCTTGCAAGTTCGTCCGCTGCCTCGTAAGCTCTCTTCGACAGTCATTCACTAGCTGAGATCTAACAGAGATAGAAGAGAGTGCCTGAATAGCCGCTTGGCTATCCAAGAAGATATTCACCTGCGTTCTCGCGACTACATTCTCTTTGCCGTATCTTACTGATTTCTTAGGTGCAAACGTTTCAGCCTGAATAACGCTTGCATAGTCCGGTAGGCGAAGTGATAACTTTAAGTTATATTGCTCAATGAAAAACCCTGCACCAACTCCGCATTCCATCTTTGACCCCTTCGAAAAGATAGTTAAGTCCTGCAAGAGTTCGACCTTTCTTATTCCAATCACTGCTGGGGAAATTTGTGCGGTGTTTGTGGTGAATCTAGGTCTTCGACAGTATGTAATCATTGCCCCAAGGCACGCAGTCTGATGGCTCTGTTAGCAGCTGAGTTTTCGATAAAGATATCTATGGGTCAAGAAGAACGTTCAAAACATCATTCGGACCGGATCTCATTGCACCTGTTACGCCAGCGGCAGTTGACACTTGGATTTCGCTCAGATTTTTAACCACGTAAGCCTTGGAAAGAGCTGGCCCCGAGACCAGCGCTCCGTAAGGGATTATGGCTAGGAATATATCTGTGTATTTCAAGTGCACAATTCTTGGTTCAAACCCCATCTGTTGCCTAATATTCTCTTGGTTGCATAGAGAGCCACCGTGTACGCTCTTAAATTTTTGGCTTCCAATTAAGTTTGGGATCCAAAATAACTCCAAGGTATTTCACTTTGTTTGACAGATACAGTTCCGTTCCTCGAATCCTGAGTTTAGTAAAATTAGGTAATTTTGTTTTATTTGTGAATTGAAGTTTTTTAAGAGTTTACGCTAAGGGAACTGTTTTTGACCCAGCATTCTAACGTCTTTACGGCCCCGCTTTGGCAACCCAATACGTCGTGAATTAAATACTCTGTTAATTAGCAGAGACACTATCCAAGTCCGCACGCAGTGATCAATCCCTGTTACCATAAGTGCCTCATGAATGGAATCTACACTAGCATTATTAAAGGCCCCCTTGATTTGGAAACAAGGATGGTCAAAGTATTTCGTGCTTCAAATAAACTATGCCCAAACGTTGGTATCCAAACATGAAAGTCAAATTTCAAATGGATTTTTTTAGAGTGCTCCGCATTTTTTCCATATAAGGCATGAAAAAAATTTATTTTCATATTGGAAGAAAATGGACTACGGCCTCGACAATAAAAAAAAAAAATCAAAAAATCAACGATAGTTTTTACCTACTAGAAACTTGCACTGAAATAGAATGGGCCATGGAACTGCATACTGAAACAAGTTTTGAAAAATCGAATTGAAAAGTTTGAAGTTTTAGTGGCCATTTATTTAAATTCGCTGAAGTTTTGCGAATTTTGTAGAAAGGTTGCAACATTGATTTATATGGTTTTGGTTGTGAAAACTTTGATTGAAATACTTCGTCAGATTATTTAACGTGCGATATATAAAAAGCGAAGCGATATTTTGTCCAGGATAAGAGATCTTTACCGTTCGCCCGATTTTCAAAAACTAAATGTCAGCCCAGTGAGGAAATGTAATGTATAGTAATCGAAAAAGTGAACAGTAAAATAGCCATTTTCACATTCGAAAATGCATTATTTTTCCCACGGCGATGTCCTAGGAAAAGTGGTGCATTCAATTTTGCATTACCAGTAATGTGATTTAATATGAATTTTTTGCGAGTTTTCGGATACATTGCAATGCTGATTACATTTTAAACAGTAATAGACCGAAACTTACTTATGAAGCTTGAAATGCATTACTACTTTTCCCACTGGAAAATTAAAGGGCTTAGTCTGCAGATGTGCAAACTGGTTTTAGTTTTTCGAAAAGTGTTGCCACTTGTTGAGCAATTAAACTAAAATTATTTAATAATCAATGCCATCATGTCCGCACCATCGTTCGATCATGCGGAATGAGGTGTCAAACTAAAACGCTTGAACCGTACTTTTCTGTAAAGAGCTACCACCTTTTAAAAAATTATATTCAAATTATTTAAAAAAATTAATCATTTATTAAAAATGGATATCAATCGAAATGGTTGCGAAAAGCTTTGTTTCTTAGCTGATCTATAGGAGGGTTGAAAGCTGTTTAAAAAATCACTTAGGTAAGAGAAATATGTATCACTATGTGGGCGCTAAACGAAAGGGGTTTCAGAAATAAGTAGCTTTAAAATATTTTGACCCGGGTTGCCACCTGCTTGTAATGTCGAGTTTAGTTTACTTATCCACTAGTTACATGAATTTACCAAAATATGGTTGTCAGACGAAGGAGTTTTAAGAAATCTTTAGTTTAAACGCTAAGAATATTTTTGAGGCGTTGGCAGAGGGTTGCCATCTGTTTAAAATTAAATTCAAATTATTTGATAAGTTAAATGAGTGATTAAAATATGGGTATCAATTGAAGGGCGCTTGAAAAGGCTTAATTCCTGGCCTTTATTTGGGAGGATTTCCATTTGTTCGAACAATCAAATTCTGAATTGTGTTTAGCGCGGTTGCCACATGTTTGAAAAATCAAATTTCACTTAATTCATCTGTTAATCAAAATATCGCAATGTCTGGCTAAGAAGAGTTAACAAGTACTAGAATTGAAAGTACTTTTGAAGTGGGCTGCCTCCTGTTTGAAAGGTCTAACTCAATTAACTAATATTCTATTCTTCTTCTAGTTTCATTGAGGTAGCTTAATTTTCATTGCAGTTATTAATTAATTCCGCAGACCAAAACAAAATTTCCCACTGTACGACACGACGGCCTGGAGGAGAGCACAGACGCTGGGCAGGTGGGTTATTTGGCCTCAACCGGTAATGCTGGAGGAAAAGTTCATGGACACTTTGAGCTTATTAGCGTAGCAGCCAACACAGTTACAAGATATGTACTATGCATATAAGCATTGATAAGTGTGAGTAAGGGAAAGTAGTACATAGAGCTACATAGTGCCAATTTATCGTACAACTTTGTTATTGTTGCTATTGTAAGCACCAAAAGTCTACTTAGTTGCAATTGGCGATTGTTGTTGCTTGTGGCAAAATAGGCGTAAAAGGGATTTGTCTCAAATACTTTGGCAACTTTACTTGATAAACTTTTTTTTGTAGACTTACAGTGAAAGCAGCAGCATAATCATTATGTATGAATATGTATTTATACACCTGTACGTTTGTAACTACTTTAATATGCATGAGTGCTCGCGATTATCAAGCCTGAATGTGTATGCGATTTGTACGTGTGTACATATGTATAAGCCCGGTTACTACCGCTACCAACTTAAGCGCGCTGACTTTTTGCGTTTAGCCGTTAAAGTTTTCTACTTTCAGTTTTAAATTAACTAAATTTGCAATTAAGTGTAATTTTTTGGTGACTCAGATTATTTTTCGTGCGAACTCTAGAGTATGTATGTAGTCAATTGGGAATGTAGTTTAGATTTATGCGCTTAAATGTACTTGCAAAAAGTGTGAGTAAGGTAAGTTATGTGCTTCTCTGCATTTAGTGTAGCTAGGTGTGAAGGATTGCTATAGGTGCTTACGTGAAATGAATTTATCCATAATGTGCTAAGTTATAGATAGGTATTTCTCTATTGTTTAATAATACGAAGAGTAAAAGTTGCACAGAATATCCAATTTTAATGACGAACCATACTTTACAGTACAAAAGATAAGATAAGAAAACGCAAACTGATTTCAATTTGAATGACTTTGAGGGGTCATCCCAGGGCAACAATCTTATATCTGTATTTATACGATATTAAAGGGACGAGTCGGGAAACTAGACGTTGAGTAGCGAGGAGTCGCTTAAGCTTCTTACCGATACCCATTTCCTAAGCAACCCAGCCTCAGTAGAAGCTACCGATGTTGTGGTGAGTTAAGTCTAGGTGTGTTTAGGTGAGGTTTGATGAGTAGATTTGAGGTGAGGTGAAGTGAGTTGTGGTAACATAATTTGAGGTGAGTGTAATATAAGGAGTTAATTTTTGAAATTTCTCCTAAATAATAAAGGATTCAGTTTGAAAGTATTTTGCATCTCCAAAGCACACAAGTACTTTGGACCAGAGTATGATAAATACTTAAATTTTTTTATACATTAGTACCCGTATCTAGCGTTTCTTAAATACCTAACTTTATATATATTTAGACATATCCAAATACTAAGTATTTTACTACTTAATACCCAAACTGGTTCTATAAATACAAAAGTATTTTGGTATGCTCAACAGTGAGTTGTAGTACCATCTTAAACTTGTCAAAGCTCGCTGAATAAAAGCTACCCTTCACTTTGCAATTCAGAAATGTTCATCAGCGAGAGTTGATGTAATGAAAAACACTACCCGTAGCCAAGAATTATCTTGCTTTAAATTAAATACGCATCACTAAGTTCTCTCAACATATTCGTTTCGAAATGTAATATTCAAAACCATAGTTCAAAACAAGTTCGCCAACGTGAACTACATTGCCAAAGGCGCTTTAATTACAGTACTTACGTTCCTTTATTTTATTTTATTTATTTTTTTTATTTATATTTCTTTCATTCCATATTCAGTATTTGCGTTTTTAATTTGCCAACATAAATCGCAAATGCAGAAAGCGTATAAAATTGCTGCTTACCTTTCAACAGCTTTTCAACTTTTCATTATGTATTTACTTGCAGTGAAGAAAGTGAGCGAATTCACATACATACATATATAGATGTGTGTGTATTTGTATGTAGGTAGCTCAGTAAAGCATGAATAACGTCAGTAAAGAAAAGTTTGAAGGTGGCAGTAGCAGACGTCATCAAGCTACTAAGACTAAATAGTATAGTAAACCGAAATAAAAATAAATAAATAAAATGTCGAAAGAATAAAAGAAGCTGTGGGCCGATGCAGCTGGCCAATGCTGCGGGTTGCTGAGTACATATAAAAGTTTGTTCACACACACACCTACACACATGCCTGCGCCATTTTATTAAAAGAACTTCACTCGAGATAGGGCATTTTCCCTTAAAGCAATATTTCATTGGGTTTCAAAAGAATACCTTAACGATTAAGATGCCATTTTAATAGAAGCTTAGTAAAAATATAACATTTTTCAAGAACCTATTATTTTTTTAATTCAAAGTCAAACCTTCTAAAGTCACTTAAGTTATTTTGATAAAATGCCACAGATATAGTAGGTATGCTGGTACAGAAATTTTGCTGTAACACTTTTATAATTACTCGCACTTTTCACTTTCGCATTTTTTAACAAACGTGTGCGTATATTTCATATTGTTGCTTCCTTTTTGTGCAAGTTACATAATTTGTGTTTTTTATAAACTTTTATTTTTTGAATTTACATATTTAAAATGTTCATAAATTTTACAGGTCAGCGCTTAACAAGGGCACTAATTAGCACCGACGGCAGTGGCGAGGGGCAGTTAGTAAAGGTAGTTTTTGAGCTGCAACATTGCCATGCTGGCGCACCGGAATCTAAGTGGTGTAAAGGCGCGCCACTTGCCGACAGCCAAAGCAGCTGCAAGCAAGTCTGTGCCTCATTGCTGAGACATACAAATATGTCTATATAAATTTGAAACATGCCTACCCGTATCTGACATTTCCAGCAAACTTTAGGCACATGGAGGAAAATATCTCGCACCACCAGCGAAACAGTACAAAAAATCAGTTTTAAACCGCATGAAGCTTGCACTATATGATACCAAATTTAATGAGCTATAAAACTAAATTCCTTACAATTTTCGGAAATTCAGAAAAAGGTTTTTGTTTTTTTTTTTTTAATTTTGGGTAACATTTTGTTTCGTTTTGGGGGAACCTTAAAATCCCTTGTTTTTATTATGTAACATTTATTAACTAGAAAAGGAGAATTGACTTTGTTCAAAATTATACTTTCTATACCCTTTGCAATAAAAAAATGTATATACATATAGACAAATAAAAACGCAAAAATCAGGCTCTTCCGAATTTTATTAAGTTTAAATTTAAGAAGAAAAAAAAATATCTCAAATCGGTTTGAAAGATGGAGGTTTTCAACAGCAGCATTTTTGGCCTACCGTACAGCGGCGGCTTACGCTAGCTGTTTCGATCAGTAATAAAAGGCAATAATTGAAAATGCATATTTATTATGCGTGCATTTTTTATAATTTGTGTGACTCAATCTATTAAGTACATATTTTCTTTGTTTTAAGATTGATTTAAAGAGAAATTTGAGAAAAAAATTAAATTGTTATTTAGCGATCTTAGATCTCCAACTTCAAATACACATACGAAAATTGTAACCAACAATTTCAAATCCTGTGGTACTTTTTCATCATTTGACCAGCTTAATCGTATGAAGTGTTCTGATTTCCACCACTTCCAACTTGCATGAAGAAAAAAAACAAATATATGGAGCCGCGGTTGAAGAAGTATTTCGGGAGATGTGGTGCTCCAAAATAGCAGCTATAACTACTACAATTTTTTTTAACCACTTTTTTTCACAATAATCTTTCATTAAAAAATAGTCACATGCTCAATAAAATTGTTGAATATGATTTGTTATTAGGCCAATAAATAGCAAAAAAAAAAAAATACTTAACTACCTTTTCTTATTTTGTAGTGTTTTTTTTTGTTTTAATCGCTTACATTTTGTTTTGCAATAAACGCGATATTTAGAAACTGTCACTATGGGCTCAGAGCAATAAATATTACCAGCATCGACTTATCTGAAAGAGAATCCATTGTAACTGCGAAACATAGCACCAAATGCGTCTTCCACTATATACATATGTATGTACACTCACCAGCTTGGTCGTAACGCAACTTATGAGATATACAATTTGTGTGTGAATTAGAGTTTTTAATTTTAAAATTATATTGCTTGCAAATGTCAAAAATGCTAAAAGCGTCCCCCAGTGGTTCTATCTTACTATCTATGTATCATTATACGTAAGGCGTTTTTGTAGTGGAGAGTTAACTCACATTTGATTTTTGATTTTCAGTTAAAAAATTGTAAACACTATAGAAAAAATAATGACAATTTTTTTTAGAAGCTCCGCTTATCAGGAAATAAAACCAGGTTCAATCGCGTTTTGTTTGCTGAAGTAGTTACGGTCATAATTTTTAAAGCTCTAAAAATTCATTTGCGTCACCAACTGTAAAAGTGCAGGCTTCACCGTAACTTTGAAAACGTGTATCGGCCAACCTTTTCATTTACCTGTAAATACTGCAGTAAATTTTTGTATATAAAATTTTTTGAGTTATATGTTAAATAAATGTCATGCGTAGGTATGTACGCATTTTTAACCCTCTTATTTACTGATACCTTTACAAAACGATACCCACATTTGCATAAACCCTGTGGCAGTTCATTTGCGTCGCACTGTGGTGCTAAACTTGAATTTCCTGTTCAAAATAGTCCAGAGCCTTAATTTCTTAACCGAGTCCGTTTTTTTATGAAATCTAATAAAATTTGGAAGATATTTGCCTAGCCCGATTTTATAATTTTATTTTTATTTGTTCATATTACTATCTGAACACTGTTATACGAATTCCCATAAATGAAAAAAAAAATTTAAAAGTAATGGTGTAAACCCTAGTTTCACCAATCAATTTTAAAATTTATACGACTGTTAAAATGTAAAATCACAAATTTTTCAAACACAATTTTGTCATTTTAAATTTTTTNGGGATCGTCGGTTCGAATCCTACTGAAAGAAGTCTGATGAGGAAATGTGGTGATTTCCGAAATAGCTATCACTTCTACCATTTTTTCAAATTATTGTTGCTTTTCCACAATAAATTTTCATTTAAAAAATGGCCTCGAGCTCATTATAAAATTGTTGAATATAATTGTTAAAAGGCCAAAAAATAACAAAAAATAAATTTTGTTTTTTTCAGAATTTTTGGCTCATTTAATTTTTAATAATAAAATGCAAGATTCAAGATAAGAATTCGCGTTGATTTATAGCATTTTTTTGCGCTGACGGTGGTTGGCATTTTCTTCCATATAGATAATTTGTGCTTGAAATGTTCAGTTTGCCACCAGTGTGCGTCATGCGGCACACTTCAGCTTGCTACACACTGCCTCACTACTCACTACGCTGGGGGCGTTTCTTCTTATTTTCTGATATTTATATATTTTTTTACTTTTTGCGTATAGGCAGTAAATTTGTATGCGTTGGTGTAAATTTATGCAAATTCATTAAATTTTGTGCGAAATTAAAGTGAAAAGACACGTTAAATGTTTTTTTTTAACTTTTTCTTGCTTAACAACTTGTTTTATTTGAGGGAATTACATATATGTGTATGTGTTTTTCCACTTCGACCTACACAACGTATACAGAACATTTAAATTTTCATTGGAAAACCCTTAGAGCATATTAAAACATGCAATTTGTATTCTTCTGGTCGCATTGCTGCTTTAAGCGTATTAATTTACATATTTAAAATATATCCGTAGCCAAAGAGTGTCCATATGGGCCTTTTGTATGGATGTTTCTGTTAGTATGTACTTGCGTTGTGGCGGCCATTATGAGGTCATAATTAACACGTTTTTCAACTCGCACAAACACTTATCGACCCGCATGCTATATATAGCTGGGCCTGCTTGTACTTGCAACGTGTTGCACCAATGCATTTATGCACTCGCATGCCAATAATCGTTGCCAAGTTATGGAAGTAAAACAAGAATCAATTGTTGTCGTAATTGTTTGTCAGGTAATTAAATATGTATACGAAAATGTGCCAACTGAGCTGGCATGGTAAGTTTGCGCAACAGTTTCATGAAGTCTACATACTTGCGCTTTTAAAGAGTTTCCTGCAGCCCAACAGGAAGTATAACTCAACTAGTTAGGTCAACAACAGTGACATGTGCGAGAAAGTATGAATTTCATATATAAAATAATTAAAACTGAGCATTTCTAAAATACCTACTTGATTTCAACATATCAACGGGTATAAAGCTTTTGACTAGCTAATCGATAATGACCAGAGTCAAAGGTTAAAGGTCTGCATTATGGGAGCTTTTTTGGTGTTATGTTCTTAGACGAGTGGGGAAGTTGTATACAATTTTTTTTATGACATCTTAGATCTTACCCTGCTAATCGGAACATCTCAACCAAAGCAATTTTTCTGGGTATTATTTAGAATTTAAACAAATGAAAATAAAAAATGAGGGGTATTAAATATATACCTAGCAGTTTGCCATACGAGGGCTATATAAATTGTTTTGAAAGAGTGATCAAAAAATTTGGGGAAAACAACAACAAAGAAACTAGTGCTCCACAAAAACATCACAAATTTGAACATCAAGCACTACTCCGTTTATTAACTTAAGGCCCCTTTGCAGTTTCCAAGAAAAATGAGAAGAAATATTTTTCTTTATTTCTATTGCTTGAAAAATGAAATTTTATCTTGCTGTAAATTTTGTTGAAGAAAAAATACTAAAAATAATAGTACTGGGTCGCTGAAATAAGTTTGTTTCAAAGTTTGTTGAGAGGAGTTTTGGGTGATCAAAAAAAATTCGTCCTTGGCGAGGACTAAATCGAGTTTTCTTCATAAATATGCCATTGCGCTGCTTTTTTGGGCTGTGAGAGAAAAAGTAAAAGTCATAAATACAAAATTACCCATAATTTACATATCAACGAACGGTACAATAAAAAAAAAACAGAACCGTAGGAGAATTTAATGAGAATTTTTTGTAGTCGATTTTAACCCTTTAACCTCAAAACAGCTGTATTGAAAGGCCATTAAACGACACTTAGAGGGTTAAAATGCTCTGAGAAAACTTTAAGCAGATACTTTTACAGGGAGTGACCGAAGATAAAGAAATTCTACGGCTTACGATGAGTGCATAAGAATGCTTAGTTCAAGTAAGTTCCATGGATACTCCGAAACGAGTTCTTTCTTTGATTTTTATTTAAATCCTTCCTTGACTGGTTTGATGTCCTGTTGAAAAATCTCGGCGCCGATGTTATCCCGAAAGAAATCAAAGTGGGAATGCATTTTGGCAGCCATGTGTTCTTCGGTTCCGCTGCACAGTAAAATGAGCGCAAACGAAACTAACCATACATATATCTACACTGATACAAGAAATAAGAAAAAGCATTTCCCAACAAGATACACATATCTATTTCTTAAAATGTACAAAGCTAAGCGACAAAAATTCAAAATAAGATTAGAGATTACAAAATATTAGACATGATACAAGATGCAATTTTTTTTCCAGTGGGAGCAGTGTTGCCAGAAGAGTAAAATTAAAAAAAAAAAATTTACGCGCCCTATACAGCACAGAAGGTTTAAAAATTGCGTTGCATACAAATCGTTCCGCCTCAATGCTCATAACTGTAGGTGTTTGAGCATGTAACTATGCTAAATATGTGAACATTAGCTTGAACTAAGCTTTCCTACGCACTTAAAATTGTCTGTTTAAACTTATTTTTTACATTTTAACCCTCTTGCAGGTCTATTCTGCGCTGGTAACAAAAATTTTGTAACCGGCAAATAAAGTTCATGTCCATTTTTAAACCCTTTTCGCATTCTGTACACTCCAGTATACAAGTACAAATGTTGTATGTATGCGAACAATTAAAAGCTAATTACTATAAGGGTACGGACCAATATTAGCACATGAAAATGTGTTTTCAACGATAGCATTTAATTTCTAGCAATTTAAGTGGGTAATTTTGGCGCATTGCAAAACACCATGTTGGGGACAAGGTTACAAAAAAGGAGTATGTTTTTATTTCAGGTAAAATAGTATATCACGTATTGCGTGAGCATGTCCGCTAGTATAAATTATATTATACTTTACGACAGCAGCATTGGATCCGAGCAGTTGCGTGCAATTTTACTTTACACGTACGAATATATTAAATAGAACTTTGAAGCACCGAAACCTTAGGTTGACAACAGAGTGGCAGCTAGAAGCGATAAGATATACGTATATGTGTATGCATATTAAGATTTACTGTACTCAACCCAAGAAGATGCCTGAGTGAAAGCTTGATAGCACAGATAAAAGACCTTTAGTAAAAAAAAAATAAGTAAAATTATCTAATTTCACTTTTGTTTCAAACCATCCATAAATAGAAAATTTTATAAGTCAAGACGAATTCATACTAGAAGGTGGTATCGATTCAACAAATACAACAATTACATGTAGTTTGTTTTTGCTATAGCAGGCCATTGTAAAATTTCAGCCCCGAATGAAAAAAGGTGACAGAAAACACAAACAAAAAATAAAAAATAAAAAAAAATCAAGACATGCTTTATTGCTCCACGCAAGTTTTGTAACTCAAATTCATTTTGATTAAGCATTTCGGAAATATTGAATATGTTTTATATATTATTCTAGCTCAATAGCAAATCATCCTTTACAGCAATCACTCTGCGCTCAGCCTTAGTTAGCTGACAATAAAAAATGAAATCGTTAGCTTTTGTGGCCACTTGAATATTTAATTCGGTGTCAAGTGCTGCGCTTTGGTAAATTGGAAATAAAATTCGCTTAAGCACTTTCACGTTTATGAAATTCAAAGCTGTAAACATTTTATTATAATGAAGTGTAAAATAAGCGGATTACGCAGAAATAATGCCATTGCACAATTAGTCGTAAGGTTAAATGGAAATCTATGTTGCTTTTTAATGGCCATAACTTTGTGAAAATTGGGTCGATTGGGAACATTTATTTTTAATTGTTCATTTTAAAAACACTTTTAGCATATAAAATCGAAAAAAATTTCATTACCATAGCTCTATAAAATTTCTACGAAATTTAAAAAAATTGTATAGGAAATGTTTATTTCCAAAAAAAAAGTACAAATCGATTTGCTTGAACATTTTTTTTAACAAACTATTACTTATGCGTTTAAATGGCAGAAATTTTAATGACAAACTTGGGCATTAAAAAATGTTCTTGTCATTATTTAAAATAAATAGTCCTTG